CGAAGTCACCCTGTATATATATATATATATCAATTTTTTTTAGGATGGTGCTAGCAGCCATTTGGTAACAGTCCCTCCTGGTCCGCATTTGTCTGATGCATTGATTTCTTCACCCATAATTCAAGGTGAAGATGGTACAGGAGCAGCTGGCTTGGGCGGATCAGGATTCGAATTTGGCGTGGATCCAAATGAAGATCCTGAGCTGGCTTTGGTTAGTATATTCTTCCAAATTACCCATATGTACATATAGTCTGAAGAATACAATCTTTCTTAATGCAAAGCTAATTTAAAACTAAAATATAACGAATTCAAACAAGTGGATCTCAAGTAAATGTACCTATTGTAGAATTCATACAAGGTATAATGTGGTTTTTTTATTAGAATGTTTTCTAACGCTATTTCCTTGGGGTCGCTAACTGGCGTACTACCTGCCTCATTAGTTCAGCAACTCCTCGGGCGCCAGCCTCCTGTTTAAAGTGTGGAAACAACACTATAGACTGGAACAGTCACCCTGCGCAGCTTCAACTCTCAATGGGTCAGATTCGAGATACTTACTCTCTACTTTCTACTACTACTACTTCTCTTTTTTGTGCCTCTTCAGGCAGGATGTTTTTTTTTATTAAAAGCAAGATATCAATCACAAACTGGTATATTAGCAGCAAATATGTACACTTCATGCATATTCGGTATATCTCAAGTTTTATGTTATATTAACAAATTAGATAAATCCCTATCTGAATCTAGCTACCCTATTGAGAGAGCGAAGAGAGGACGATCGGTTAACTCGAGATTGAACGGAATCAAAAGTATGCGGTCAAGCCTACAAGCGATAATGGTGCGACGCCTTGAGCGATGAACGGTTTACAGCAACATGGCTATGTGCAGTTGAAAAATAACACCAGGCGTTTATTTAACCCGTATCTACTTCAAGATCTGTTTCTCTGGTTCTCGCTGAGATTTCAATCTGCTCCCCAGGGAAGTAAGCACACTGTAGACAACGATGTGCATCCCCGACTTGCTTCTTGAAGCCCAAAGCAATTATAAAATTCCTAAAATCAAGCCGCGTTATGTACCTTTAAACCTTCAAATTAGGGTTGGGCATGATAGTTCACCTGAAAGAGCGCTCAATATAGTTCAAAGAATATAAGTGAACTAGTTCGCTCTTTTAGTTCAGTAGTTCACTGACACGAGGAAGATCTATGATCCATGTAGCTACAGTGGAATATATATATATATATATATATATTCCACCAAAATACATATATTCCATAAATTTTTATCCAAACAGTCGTGGACATCTATTTTGATGGAAAAATGATTTGATATTTATCGTAAAAAAACGTGTATTAAAAACCAGTGAAAGTGCATATCTCTTTACTAATTTTCAAAATAAACTAAAAAAAATCTGCAAAAATAACAATACAAACTGAAATAAAAAATACAAAAAGTATTTTACTAAAGTATCAAACACAAAGAACATATAAACAAAACAAAAGATAAATAATTCCACTAACCATATAATACTGCAAATGGTTAAAAAATCGAGATCAAATATCACAAGAAAAATACAACAAAAAAGCATTATGTATTACAATAACAATCACATATTCGTGTGGAGGAATATGAGCTGTGACACTTTACCGGGTTTTAAAAGGGTACGACGTTCATTCAAAATTTGCCCGGTGCCAGAAAAGATCCTTTCACATGGTACCGAGGTCGCGACATTGCAAAACCTTTTCATGACATAGGCGTATAAATCTGGATAAATATTTTTTCGTTGATCCCACCATTCTAGTGGATCACTTTTTCTTTCTAACTAGTCCTCGTTCAAATACCTATCTAGCTCCTTGATCCCAGCTACTTTTTTATTTTCAGGCCTGCTGTTTCGTCATACTCCTCCCATATGCTTTTTGTTGATGTTGGAGGTGCTGATGGCGGGCCGTTTCCGTCAAATGAATCATTTGCTTCATTTTTATGAGGTATTTGACCAGAACCAACTTTATTCCTCAGTCCTTGTACTGCTTTTTCAAAACAGTCTGCATTTTTGAAACCACGTTTTTTGAATCTTGGATCCAAAACAGTGCATTCTGCAAACAAGATGTTGTTCTCTATATTTTGAAATCTGGCATTCATTTCTTTCTTCAAAACCTCTAGAACTGCTTGCACTTTAGAGTGGTTTGCAGAACTTTTTGCAAGTATTCTCTCTATCATTTTATACATAACAATAACTTTTGATAGAGTGACGTTTTTCTCTGCACTAATTTCTGTTGTCACCTCATAGAATGGAAGAAGCAGAGGTAGAACTTCCTCTATAATAGACCAGTCCTCTTGTTGTAGCGAAAGGTCATTTCGCGTTAGTGCTATTGTTGTAATTACAGCATCTTTTATTGTAACCACCCTATCTAACATCTCATATGTCCAGTTCCATCGAGTTGGGACATCCTGTTTTAATTTTAATAGTGGCAGATTCATTTGTCGTTGGGACTCTTGCAATTTATGCAGACCTTGGGAGCTCCTTTTAAAATACTCGACAATAGACTTAACCTTCACTAACGTATCTGATATTTGTTCTGTAGCTCTTTGTACAACTAAATTTATAAGGTGTGCAAAGCAGCCTATCGATCGCCAATTACCCATTCTTATAGCCGAAATAATATTTGGTGCATTGTCGCTCACTACAGCAACAATTTTATGAGAAATCTGCCAATGGTTCATAGTTTCTTTGAGAAATGTACATAGATTTTCACTAGTATGCCTTTCAGTATATTGAATACAACCTAATGTCGAAGAACACAGTTTAGAGTTATCATCAATATAGTGGGCCATTAGAGCAATATAACTCTCATTATTTCTGGATGTCCATGCATCAGTAGTGACGCACACAGCTTGTGCTTTATTCAATTTGATTTTTATCTTTTCTGTATATTCATTATATATTTTGCTGAGCAATGACTCAGAAAGTTTTTTCCTAGACAGTAACTCGTAATTTGGGCAGTGAGATACCATTCTAATTAATTCTCTAAATTCTGGCTCCTCTACCATACGTAGTGCATGGTGTCCTTTAGCGATCATTTTGATTACTTGCTTATCAATTTCTTCTATTTTACGACTAGATGGCGGTCTTTGAACAAAGTGAGTAATTTCTGTTTGAGCTCTGCTTGGTTTCAGTAGCCCCACGAAAACGTGGGCCAATGATAAAACCATAATTGAACCATACCGTAAAAATAATATTTGTTTTTATGCTGTGACTGAACGCCCTATTTCCGAAAATAAGAGCTCAAACCTAAATTAAAAGTTTTGTTCGTCATGTCTGAAAAATTAGTTTGAATGCTTGCTCAACATATTTAAGAAATAACTGGGTAATAATGTCAATAAATTAATAGCTCTATGCATGTCATAAGACGGACGCATAGCATAGCATTCAAACATTTCATTTTAGTTGTTCGGAAGGCTAGATAGATACAAATATTAGATACCTATTTAAATAACATGTTTCACAGAAAGAAGCAAGTCTACTGCTCGTTCAATTGCCAACAAAAACATTAATTTATGTTGAATGTTTATAAAGGAAAATTCGGAAATCGCTAGGCCTGACAATAAAGCATTTTCAAAAAATTTGCTCGGCCCGTCAGTCGTGTTCGTTCGGGTTCATCTTTGCACACCGTCGCTCCGTTTAAATCAAACATCTGATCGAGAGCGCGCCATCCATTGTTCACTGATTCTGAGAGCGAGAGCGCATAGCGGTGAGCCAGCGAGCCCAGCCCAGCTGTGACAGACTGCGGCTGCGAGGTGCGAGCAGTGAGCCGGTGAGAGGGGAGTGCATACTGAGCGAGTGAGCGGGTGAGCGGTTTTTCTGAAAGCTGCTGAACTAGTTCACCTAGTTCACGTATCAGAGCCGGTTCTTTGAACTAGTTCGTTCAGGAACTACCCAACTCTACTTCAAATGAACAGTATCGGAGACGCCGTTATTTTGTGACTCAATAACACAACCCATAAACACTTCTATATATCTGGGACTTTTCTGCGATATAACGCACACAATTAGATATACTTATCAACCTATAGTTCGGGGACCTTGAAATGGATGTCTAAACTAAACGAGGCGGTACGGTTCGGCCTTCTGGCGGTATTCTTTTCGATTTGTTTCACCAGTCAGCTCTTCTTTGTAACCAGAGAAGTCCACTTCGGCCAACCTAGGCATAGACCAAGTCCAATCGCGGTTATCAAAATTAAGCAGGATAAAGGTTATCCGGAAATATCTTCAGACTGTTTCAGTTTTAATTTTCAATCCTTTAACTTGAAATCAAAGCAATTCCAGCACTAGCTACCTAGTGCCGGTTCAATCCCAATGAGTCCAAAGTAAATTTAACGTAACAGTCTTTAGAATAAATTGTATGTCAAGTAAGTCAACTATATATGTCACATAAACCAAACATAATCTAATTGACGGCAGGATTATGTATGAGCCAATTTGCTTGACGCCATCTTTCCTATCCTGTCCTCAGGCCCTGCGCGTGTCGATGGAAGAACAACGCCAACGTCAAGAAGAGGAGGCACGTCGTCGCGCGAGAGAGACGCAAGATGGCGCCACTGACGACGGTGCTGGAACCAAAATGGACGTTACCGGAGGCGGAACCAAAGAAGAACCGAGCGAAGAGGCGTTGCTGGAAAGAGCATTGGCCATGTCCATGGAAGAGGGCAAAGGTCAACAGCAGACGGCACAAGCGCGTAGTGGTCCTGTCGACTTCGCTAACATGACTGAGGATGAGCAGATCGCTTTCGCTATGCAGATGTCCATGCAGGATGCGCGTGAGTGTTTTTAATTCATTTGTAACCAATACCATTGATCAATTGATTAACACATTCTACCTAGCCAAATTCTGCTATACTCGCGCGTTCAAAAAATTACCCAGCTCGTAGGGGTATGATTGAGGTTAGGAAAAAATAAGTTTCTACGGATTTGGATAGTACGAGGTCTGTAAATTAAGTGGTGAGACTGGTTTTTATAAATTTTTTTATCCAAATATAATTACAATTTTACGTTGCCACCTTCAAAATAACTTCAATCTGAAGCGACACTGCGCTGAAGGCGGTTCTTCCACTCTTTATAGCAGTGCTGGAACTGCGATACTGGAGTTGCCTTCATCTGGAGGGTTACAGCCATTTAATGTTTCCGACTGTCCCAAAATTACTTCCCTTGAGGTGATTGATCAACTTCGGGAAGAGAAAAAAGTCACAAGGACTCAAGTGAGGCGAATAAGGAAGCTGCGGATCCGCAGGAAAGTTTTTACTGGCCAAAAATTCGTTTATTGACATTGCTGAGTGGCAAGGAGCATTGTCGTGATGCAACACTCAGCTGTTCTTGATCTGACAAATGGTGCGTGAGTCAAATTTAACTCTCCCCGATCATTCTGACTGTCAACCGAAAATCCCGGATTTTGTCGATGTTTTCATCGGTTCTTGAAGATGACGGCCTTCCGCTTCGTGGTTCATCTTCAATCGGCTCTCTCCGTTGTAAAAATGCATTAAACTACCGAAAAACCTGGGCTCTTGACAAAACACTAGGCCTGCTGAAGTTTAGCAAGAATTTCCGTTGTACTGTCACAAGTCTGAAGCAACGTTGCTAAAAATTGATGTCGTTCATTTTTAGAATACAATAGGAAAACTGTTTCTACAAAAACAAATCGCTACGGATTAGGAAACGTCTCGAGAGAGTTCAAACTTGTATTGAAGGTTGATTACATATTCCCTGTCTCTCCTCCAAGCCAGGCGCGTCCAGTGTTGCCAGAACGTTACATGGCAAGTCTCATCACTTAATTTACAGACTTCGTAAACTAAAGCGTGCAATCTCGTGTGTATATATCCCCAAAAGCTAACTACCTAGGTGAGAACTTACAGCTTTTGAGAATAACTTCTGTTTTCATTGAGTTTTAAAAAATTATCCAAGATAAAATGAGATGTAGCGTGATCTATGAGAGTTTGTCACAGCTGTTTACCTATTCACTATATATATATATATATATATATATATATATTAAATAAGTTAGTATCTTTTATGGCGCTGTTTATATGTATATACGAGGGTGAATCAAATATGAGCCGGACTTTTCCGTTTAACGTGCCATAGGTGAATAGAGTGGGGCGACGTCTTAGTATATGTTGGGTGGGGATATCAGTCAGTTTGGCGCGCCGAAGTAGATGAGCTGTTTTTAGCATCATGTCTGAGCAACAGTTGCTCACGTCTGATGCGCAACGCATTATAAAGTTTTTGTCGCGGGAGGACGTAAAACTTTCCGAAATTTGGCTTCGATTAACAGCACAGTTCGTTGATAAGACCCTTTCAAGGACACAAGTATACGACTGTCAAAGAAATTTTCCATGGAGTGACGAAAGCCTGGAGAGGCAGCAACGCGAAAAGCCAAGACCAGTCTTTCTGCAGGAAAAGTTCTTGCAACTGTATTTTGGGATTCCAGAGGTGTACTGCTAGTTGATTTTCTTCACAATCGCCGTATAGTTAATGCTGCTTACTACTGCCAAATGTTTAACAAAGTGAAACTGGCCTATCGGCGAAAAAGGCGAGAAATGCCTATCCGAAGTGCCATTCTGCTCCATGACAACCCTTGGCCACACACAGCTACATTGACCCAAGAAAAATTACGCGAAATTAATTGGAAGGCACTTGAACACACGCCTCAGTCCCGATTTGTCACCATGTGACTAGCACAGGTTTGGGCCACTTAAAGAAGACCTGTTAGGTCACCACTTTGACGACGACGAAGGTGTGGAAACGTTCGTGCACAATTGGCTACTGACACGACCAGCTTTACTCTTTGATGATAAAAAAGCATCAATAAGAGAGGATACTATGTACAAAAATTACTATACCAATAAACCTACTAAAACGAAAGGCCAGTTCATATTTGATTCACCCTCGTACAAGCATACAGTAGGTGACTACAGCGCCACTAATCTTTTCAAAGTTTATATAGTGAACAGAGAAAAAGGTGTGACAAATTCTCACATGACGCTACGGTATTTTATCTCTTTTTTTACGCGCGAATATACAAGATAATTTAGTGAAACGGCACCATTTGGCAACGCTTCTGGCGGAAAAATAGTGGAGTCGCGGGCTTGCGCCGTAAACGTTGTGAATCTAGAGAGTGGGAAGTTTACTTACCATGGAGAAGTGGTCGGGTGAACAACGCATTTGCTGTGAAAGCTCCAGTTCCGTCTAACAAGGTTATTCAGGCTTGGGTTAGGAACTTTGAAATTGGTGGTTCATCACAGAACAGAGGTGGCAGTGTCAGAACTGCTCGCACACTGCAATATTGAAGCGGTGCGAAACTCATTACACGCGAGTCCTCGAAGATCCCTGCGACGACGAAGCTTAAATCTGGGATTAAGCTATACCACTACGAGTAGAATTTTGCATAAAGATCTCCATTATCATCCATAATCCAGATTGTGCAAGCTCATAACGTTCGAGATTATCCCATTTGTGAACAAATGTTGCAGAATGTTTGGATGAGTGATGAAGCCCACTTTCATCTAAGTGGGTATGTCAACAAACAAAATTTCCGCTATTGGTCCGACAATAATTCGCGGCAATTACACGAAAGACCCCTATATTCAGAAAAGGTAACCGAGTAGTGTGCAATTTCTTCGTAAGAGATCATCGGACCTTATTTTTTTAAGGACGAGGATGGGCACGCAGTTACAGTAAACTCTGATCGTACAAGTGTCAATGGATTTACTAAGAAGATCGTTCCCGGTCGTCTTATGAGTAACACCGGCGATATCCCCTGCCCACCTCGTAGTCTGGACCTCTCCCTATGCGAAAACTTTCTTTGAGGGTATCTTAAGTCGAAAGTGTTTCAAAGTAACCCCCCAACAACTATCGAGGCTTTGAACGAATGGATACACGATGAAGCGGAAGCAATACCTCAAGAAATGTTACTCAATGTCGTAAACAGCTTTGTACCACGGCTGCAAGAATGTGTCCGATAAAATGGAGGCGACCTTTCCAATATCATCTTCAAAAACTGAACATTTCTTCACCTACACATTAATTTCCATCAGTGTAGTATACGTTTTTTTTTTATTAAAAAGGTATTTTTTCAGTTTTTTTTTTGTTGATTTGAAATCGTTCCATTTCATTGAATCACCTTGTAGCATTATGTTGCCTATCTCATTGCCAATACCTAACTCAAATTCTTGTACTACTATTGGTCAGTAGACTCAGTTCCCGATAATAAGCTTATAGCTTAAGAACGTGATAAACGCGGTGTTAAATCTTCAATGCCAAGTAGCTAGTATGATTTTATAGAATTTTAGAGCAAGATTGCCAGATATATCCAAAATTCATATTAATTGGTTACATTAATTAGTATCATAGATCTGGTCGAAGGTATGCAGCTAAATAATCATATAATTTCATAAAATATGCAAATGATAAACAATAATTTTATTTTAGAAATATTTCAGTACTCATATTTCATTATATCATCTTCACGACGTGTATCCAATTTGAATGCATGTTCAATCGCTTCGATGAAGGTATAAAAACTTTCTATTGTTTTATAGAGCCATTGCAACAATTTTGCGAATACATATACACTACAAAATTGTCTGGCGGCAGTGGTATAAATACAGGTACACATTGGTAGCTTTCCAGAACCATGAACGATCGATATAACTAGGTGTTTAGTTACCATCGATTTTTAAAACGATACATAAGCGCCACTTGCGTTTTGATCGGTAGATGGCGCGATCAAAACCACTTTCGTAATCGAAAAAATTATACAACATTCAGTATGACAAATTGGTTAAGGCTTTCGCGGCCAGTTGAAATTCCAACCGACGACGGCCTTTAGACCTGAATCAAGACAGCAGTTTAACATTCAGTATGACAACCTATAAGTGTAGAAAAAATATCTTTCAACTCTCCACATGCTGATATCTGCTTGAATTCTTATTTTTTTCCGATATTTCACAAACTTCAAAAGTGTCACCATCTTTGAAATTCGTACGGCAGAATGCACCAGCCCAAAAAGCTCATTGATTAATGTACAAAAATCATAAACTAAATCGTATACTTGAACCACCACTAAGGCCTGGGAACTGTGGGGTTAACGGGCACAGCAGCCTTGTTCCAAGGTTGGATAATTTTCAGAGTTCGGTTCAATAATGGCCTGAGTAATTTTACAATTTCATTCCTGTTAATATCAGGAATATTGGAAATAATAAAAAATTTAATGTTTCGTTTAATATGTTCTGTTGGGAAAATCGTGAACAATTTATGCGTCTATTTTAAGTTGCTTTGAGGTAGATTGATCTTCCTATTTGTTTCTTTTCTTTCTTTTTGATATTATTGTGACACTTTTTTCTGTGATCTTAAGTTAAATCTATGACTTACAACAAAAATATGAAATTTTCTTTCATTTTGTGTATATCGTGTTTCATGTTTTGTTTGTATAGTTGGGTGATTTTATACCAAAATACATATTGCACGATATTTATCAATTAATTACTGTTTTGGTCTGTTTTTGCGCATACAAGTTTTTAAACTTAGGCGCTCATATATTATAGAGAAACCTTGTTTTTGTTTTTTTAATGTATAGATATATATTATTTTTATATTGGTAAATTTGGGTTCTGCTGAATAAATGTGGTAGAGTTCAGGGCGTACTGTTCTCTCCAACAACAAAATGTTGGTTTTGAGGATATCAGAAGAGTGTGGTTTTAATGCACAGGCGTGTGACTTTAAATGACAATATATAGAATTTAGAAAACCGTTTATTTGTAGATTTTGGGCTGAAAGGGTGCTTTCACCATAGTTTATGAGACCATCAGCCTTTAATAATCCATATCTATCTGTGGAACGTAAAGAGTATTTGAATCTTATCCGGAGCTAGCTAGATGTCCCGTGTCCGCTTCACTGAGCATCAAACATTTTTACTTGTGTTGAAACTAACTTGTGTGGTTCTAAAGATGCGATTCCACCAGTGTGCTGAACTGTGCGGCACTCTAATGCACAGTGTACAGCACAAATGTTTCTTCTGGTCGACTCACTCACGCAAACAACAGCAAATGGTGCGCAAACATTTCGGAAACGTTCGCGAACATCAGTTACTTTTGTGCGCGCGCACATGCAAGCAGTGGACTCGCGTCTTCGGGTACATACTTGTTGTTCGCGAACTCAGTATTGCTTCCGCTCCTGGACTGAAAACATTTGTTTGTACGCGCACTTCTTTTACGAAATTTAAAATGGACTGGACAAATGATAGGATTATAAAATTTATTCAAGCAATTTAAACTTATCCTCTTCTATGGGATTCCAGTCACCATGATTATAAAAACACGACGCCACTCAACAGTTAGCTCAAAGTTTCAATTGTGACTCGACTGAGGTAATGAGAAAATGGAAAATTATTTTGGCTCAGTACCGAAGAGAAAAGAAGAAAATAGCGGATTCAAAATCTTCAGGTTCTGGGTTTTCAGATATATTATTTGTTATTTTATATTGTTTCAAGATGTAATGTTACTTTCTTTTGCAGTCGTGCTAACACAAATTTGATTTTGAAATCACCTGAAGGGGTTATGTGTTTGAATTATAATAGTATTTGTAAGTTTTGTGACATATTTTTATGTTCTATTTCGGAGTTAAAATGTGTTCTGCGGGAGCTCCTTAGATAGTTTTATAAGTTAGACGTTTGTAATATTTCTAATTTAAGATTTTGGCCTATAAATGGATATTATCTGTTGGGCAATAAAAGCTATAAATAAGCCTTATTGAAACAGGGACACATTTTCTGTAGTTGGTGTCTTGCTTTGCAATATGAGGACTAAGTGCATTGACCAGCAACTCAAAATCTTCACACGATATACGAGTAAAATTTTTAAATCCACTTAAGGGATCTACTTTTATTTCTTCTACAAATCTATTGGTTTCTTCATTCCATCGCTGCAAAAAAGGTCTCACCCAACATCGTGGTTTTCTTCTTCGTTTCTTTTTAAGCAGACTACCTATTGAAACACAAGCTGCAGCACAAAACACTACGTATTCCCGCCCATCCATATTAAGAACTGAAGTTAGTGAGAACTTTGCTTGGTAAACATGTTCGTGCACAAGTGTGCTACACTGTACGCTTACAAAAGTTATGCACTGCTTTGCCGGTGGACACAGAAGATAAATTCGATACCAGTGAGCACATTCAATGCTGGAGTTTCACACAAAATGTTTGTAAACAAATGTGCTGAACACTATTTTGGTGGAATCGTACCATTAGTACTGAGTGCTTAGAATTTCTTTTATGTTTATTGTGTTTCTTGTTGACTGCTAGCATGTATTCGGACTCTGTTTGGTGTTCGATTGTCTGGTAGCAAAATGTCCATCAGAGAGAATGTTTGAACCTGGGACCTATTTATCGTGAGGGCAAAAGAAACTTTTGACTTAAAACTGTAGCCTTTGAACGATATTGCCAAACACCTCGGAATCATTGATATCGCGGAATATAAGCAGGCAGTCCCACTGCTGGTCCCATGACGATGGTCGCCACGATTATCTTCTTCCGCTACTCTTTGTGCAATTAGACAGGTCAGGAGACCTGATATTTCTTAACAGCATGGCAGGAATGCCCACTTAATATAAAGTCTCATAGATTTTAAAAGTTGCACTATATCATCAATATTACATACCGTGTGAACCGACTCATACTGTTTAACGTAGCCAGGAATTTTCTATAAAATCAGTTTATTTCGTCCATTCATTGATTAGGTTCTGGTGATACTATTGCCCTTGAACAAAGCCAGTGATAATTTATGCAAAGAAAATGAATGTAGCTATAGAAGATATACTCTAGCCTAAGAAGTTTCACTTAGGTAAATACAAATAAACTGAACTTTAAGACAATTGAAATAAGAAAGCAATCAAGAACAACCTAGCAAATAGCGAAATATTCATAATAAATTCGATGAGTGCGTCTGCCGTTTCGACGCTATATTTATAGGCGAGTGGCCGATTAGGACGGACCTGCGATTGAACGATGGCGATTCTCTACCCTTAGCATTATTGCCATTTCACATTAAAACATATAATACTAATGGCATGCAAATACAGTCTGTGTCACTCAGGAATAACGTAGCTTTCTACTGGTCGAAGAATTTCAAAATCGTTTCATTTATTCCAGATATTTCTTCCTACAAACAAACTCAGCTCTGAATCTTTAATAATATTAGTTGCCAGGAAGGTGCGTTTTGAATGACATGTCTTTGTTTGTTTCAGATTTATTGAGCATTAATGCTACAATGTCTATAATATATCCATATTGCACAGTATCACAAAATATATTATGTCTTCAAGACTACATATTTTTATACAAAATTTCACTACTGAATTCTGGTTTTCCATGAGATATTTTTTCAATTTCCCTTTGAACATTTTCAAACTGACACACATCTTGATATCATAACTTAATTTATTGAATTCTTATAATCCCCTTTGAAATACTGACTTGTTCGTTACATTGCTACTGCAGTTTTGTAAATGAAAGTCTATAATTGTGGCACTCATTGTTCAATACAATAAAATTTTCTAAGTGATTTGGTAGAAGATGATTTTTCAACTTGAATATGAAAATGAATACCAAGTAGGCTATGAAATGTTTGATGTAGATATATATATATATATATATTAATGTATCATCAGCAAATAGTTGAATTTTGCAGTGTTGTAAAATATCAGGAATTTCGTTAATATATAAAATTAATAGTAATGGACCCTGTGGCACACCTACCGAAATGTTTTTAATGTTTGATAATGTATTGCCAATTTAGTTCTTTGACTTCTTTTGATTAAATAATTTTGTAATAAGTTGAATACTGAACCTTGAAATCGATAGCAATGCAATTTCGTTATAAATTTCTCCCTGTCAATAGTCTCAAAAATGCTCTCTTGAAATCGAAGAATAATGTTACTGTAAACTTTTTTCATCTATATTTCGTCTCCATTCTTCTACTACCATATTTGAATTGCTGTTTCAGTAGAATATTTTTTTCTGAATCCTACTTGAAATTTTGTGAATATCTTATTTTCTTCAATATATTCAATGACTTGTTCATATATGATTCCTTCTAAGAGCTTCTCGACATCTGGCAGTACATTAATTGGCCGCATATTGTATATAACTCAGAATTTTGCACTTTTGGAACAGGAGTAGTTGTAGAACATTTAAATTTTGAAGGAAATTCGCCATACACTAAACAGAGATTCACTAACAATAATAACTTCTTTCCAATAAGGTTGAAACATTCCTTCATAACCATTTTTGAAAGATGTTCACTAGGATTTGTATTCGATTTCAATCTTGTAATAGCTTTTGAAAGATGGCTGATATTTATTGTTTGGAATTGTCTCATAGAAGAATTACAAGTAACTTGCATGTGACATAGATTTTTATCCCCATATTCGATTGATTCCACTATATATATATATATATATATATATATATATATATACGTAGTCATGCCATAAGTTCTGTCCCTCGTTTTCAAACAAGTGTAGACCTGTTAATACTTGTCCGATTGTTTACATTGTGGTGTCAGTTGATTAAGCGCTTTTCGGGTAATTACATATACCTCAGTTTGTATTGATCTCTCGAAGCATAACGATGGAGTGGGGCAAGGCAGAGAACCGTATTGCAGTGATAGCTTTACATAAGTGTAATCACAGTGCTAGTCAGATTTTTGAACTCTTACGCGGCCTTCAAATATCGCGTAAATTTGTGTCTAGGACCATTCAGCGGTACAATGAGACGTCCTCTGTTGATGACAGGCCAAGAAGCGGAAGACCTCGTCAAGTAAGGACTCCAGCAGCCATCAAAGCCGTAAAAGCCAGGATTCAAAGGAATCCACTCCGGAAGCAGAAGATCCTATCCAGGGAAATGAAGATTCCTGTCCGGACGATGTCGCGCATCATTAAACAAGACCTAGGGCTAGGGGCTTACCGGAGACGTACGGGCCAGCGACTTACGGCCACCTTGCGACACATCAGGGCGACAAGATCCAAGAAGCTCTTGGAGAGGTACGCAGCTGGGGGATTCCGAAAGATTTTGTTCACGGATGAGAAAATCTTCACCATAGAAGAAAAATTCAACCGACAAAATGACAAAGTGTATACAAGGAGTTCACAGGAAGCTTCGGAGATCATTCCGAGAGTTGAGAGAGGCCACCACCCTGCGTCAGTCATGGTTTGGTGGGGGGTGTCCTACGAAGGGGTCACTCAGCTCCATTTCTGTAAACAGGGCGTGAAAACAAAAGCGGCAAACTATCAGAGCGACATACTGGATCCTATCGTCAAGCCTTTAAGTGGTACATTGTTTGCCAACCAACACTGGGTCTACCAGCAGGATTCCGCCCCCGCTCACAAGGCTAAGAGTACGCAGCGCTGGCTGGAAAGCAATGTGCCAGAGTTCATTGCTGCGGAAGATTGGCCCTCAGGGAGTCCGGACCTCAATCCTTTAGACTACAAGTTGTGGGACCTGCTAGAGCAGTTGGCCTGCTCCAAAGCCCACCGTAATATCGAGTCCCTGAAAGCGGATTTGATCCGATCAGCGGCAGCTATTCCTTTGGAAGCTGTGCGTGCAGTGATAGATGAGTGGCCCGCGAGATTGAAGCAGTGTGTGAAGGCCAAGGGGGGACATTTTGAATAAAACTGTTTGATTATGAATTCTAAAAATGTTGTCGAATAAATAATATCTTTCATATAAATATATCTTATCTTGTTTCATTTTTATCATGAGATTATCATGGGACAGAACTTATGGCACGACTACGTATATATATATACTACTATAAAATAAGCGTTCATTCGTCAATCAATATTTTTTGTGTTACTTCTTCGAATCGATCTTCCACATCATTTTAATGTTATTTTTATTGCTATCGATTTTGGTTTCATAATATTTTTTCTTTTCGTTCCTAAGATTTGTTAAACACTTTTTTCTTGATTTCTTATATTGTATCAAATCTTCCTCAGTTTGAGTGATCATAAACTTTTTATAGTCATTATCACGCGTCAATTTAGAGTCTAGAAATATTTGTGAAAACCAGAGTGTTGGCTTTTTCCTTTGATATACCACTTTCCTAATTTGTGCGTCTCTCATGCAGTTCTCCAAACAATCCATAATATTTGACAAGTAAGTGTCAGCATCATTAAAAATTTCAGTGATATTCGCTTGTAAGAGTGACTTTCGTAACGTTTCAAAGTCAATAATTGTGATTTCTCTTGATTCTCTCTCATTAAACATATTTTCCACCTCGAAACATATCCACGAATGGTCGCTTATTTTTGGAGTATGTAAAACCTTAATACTCAAATTCTGTTCATTGGTTATTATTAAATCGATCTTAGTTCGTGAAAAGTTTGTAATCCATGTATAGTCATTAACTTTTTGCCATAGAATATGAAAGTTAAATTTTTTTACATAAATATGTTGATTATTAAAATTGATATTGAAGTCTCCCAAGTGCACAGTGGAGCAATTTCGATAATTCTGTTTTGCACAAACACTCTCAAAAAGTACAAAAATCGGCTAATATTACAGCTTCGAGATCTGTAGTAAACGTGTACATTGTAATTTTGTTTCATCTTGATTTCAAAACTAATATACCACCATTGATAATCAACAACTACACTATTATGTGTTTTTACTTCAATCATACTCAGTTTGTATATTAATATGCCACCTGTATGTTTCGAAACTGTGTTTCCTCTTACAACATCACAATGATGAATATCAATCTCCATATCTTCTGTAATATGTGTTTCAGTCAGGCAAAGAACTAACGGTTTCTCTAATATTAAATAATTTATAACTTCATCCCTGTGCGATAAAAAACCTTGAATATTTATATGGTATGCATTGTTAGAATATTTTTTGGCCTGTAATAGCTATTTGTGAACATAAGAAACTTTATTTTTTGATTTTTCATTTTCGATTTGGACCATGTTGCAGGTATAGTGGAAGGATGGGTGATTTATATCGAAATTTGTGTTGTACTTCAAATTTTATTTTCTCCAATTTGGACATGTTATTCCATCTTTTGATATCGTACAGTTCTGGGCCTGATGATCACTATTACCACATGTTAAACAAATGCTGGTCTTGCTGAAATTCTTCGCTGTGTGGTGAAATCCGCCACAGTTAAAACACCTCAGAAGATCGTAATGCTCTAAAATTGTACAAACATCCATGGATACAAATAAAACTGCTGCTTTCATTGCTGCTTCAAATGTCGATCTATCCAATTCCAAAATTGCCATATACCGAAATTTAATTTTTTTGATTGCCACTACTTTAGTAATTGAAAAATGTGCGGCAACTTTTCCTAGCAGCAAAAGTAGCATGACCGGCCTTTAATCGGAGCATTTATTTATAAATCACTGACATCGATTTTTATTAATTTTATACACACGTTTTTGAGTTCTGGTTGCCATTACGTGTAAACCGTCAAACTTATAAAACTTTTTATGGCATTATATTTTATTTATTTATGTTAGATTACTGTGATCAAACCTAACAAAAGTATTAACTTAAATAATCTTGCGCTTTCACAGAAGAGTCATCGGCCAGCAACACCAACGCATCCGCCGCAAAAGCCGAGCCGATGGAAGTTGAAGGAGACGAAGATTATTCGGAAGTCATGAACGACCCCGCATTCCTCCAAAGCGTGCTAGAAAACCTCCCTGGTGTGGACCCACAGTCGGAGGCCATCAAACAAGCAGTGGGCTCTCTCAAGGATAAAAAGAAGGATGATAAGTCGGATGACAAACAGAAAAAATAGGATAGCTATACTCGGATTAGTCTTTTAAATATATACTTTGCACATTTATACATGTTTTTGAGATAGGACTGTCGTGGAAAGTCGAAAATTGGACTCAAATATTGCTCAGACTGGTATGACAATTTCCATGGTGTATTGATAAAGTCACCTAACCTCATACAAACTTGAACCAAACTTCATGCCATAAAGGAAAAACCTTAGATTAACCTAGGAATGTGACAATGAGTGAAAAAAATCGATCAGTGAAAAAACGGCTTATTCTTTTTTAATTTTAATCGATTTTTTCTATTAGTCGACAAATTGCATGGTTTCATGTATAGTTATACTAAAAGTAAGATATTTACATTAAAAATTTATCATAGTCAAAATCAAATAAGAGGAAGAGAATACAAATATACACAACAACCTTCTGGTTTTAATTTTTGTGGTATTACCGCACCGGCGTATCCAGAAAAAAGTTTTTTTGGTGGGGAGGGCTCAGGTTTAATAGTACAGTAGGATGCCGTCCCGGCAATAGAAAATTGAAGAACGGAGGGAGCGCGGGAGTTATCCGAGGTTAACAATATTAATATATTTATATTTCCGATTCGCCCATGGGAAGCGATTACTTTTCACAAAAGGTACTTGCACGTTCCTGTGGTATCCTTTTTCATTTATAAATATTTTCTTCAGCTGCTTTTAGGTGTTTTACCTTGAAAGTCATTTTTATTGTTGACCAAGAATAAAATGTATAAAACTGTTTATATGCTTACTTATACACAGAGCTGCTTCTCAGTGGCGGATCCAAAATATTTTTAACGTGTTCCAATTTTCAATCGCCGATTATCCCCCCGAGGTCGTCCTCTCTTTCAGCACTCGTTTGAGCGGGTTATTTCAAATTTATCATAGACATCCCCCTCCCCCTCAAAACATACTCGTATTTTCTAGATCGGCCTGTTTATGCTAGTGAAGTGTGAACGTCGAGTTGTTGCTTCCGTCATAGTGTTTTACAAAAATCGAGTAGAATGGGTGATTTATTTAATCTATTTACTAAAAATTGTTTATTATGATTATTTAAAATCGATTATACGGAAAAATAATCAATTAATGGATTATTTTTTAACATCCCTAGGTTAAACTAGATTGAGTTGTACATAAGTTAGTAGATAGTCTATGGGGACTCAGTCTCACTAGTTTTTAAATCTGCTAGAGGCGCTGCACAAAACCTAACGAAATCTGTAAAAACATCATGTGTCGTCGACCTTATCGCCTTATCAGTGTTGTTGTGTTCGCATGCGGTTATGATAGTAAGGTGTAGTATACAGGGGGAGCCAAGAATGTTTTATACAGGATGACATACGTCACGTGCGTGCGTGCGTGCGTGCACGTAAATAACGTATATCGTGCACGTGTCATAAATGACGTATGTCACGCACGTGACGTGTGGCTCATCCTGTATAAAACACTCTTGACTCCCCCTGTATACTACACCTAACTATCATAACCGCAGGCGAACACAACAACACTGATAAGGCGATAAGGTCGACGACACATGATGTTTTTACAGATTTCGTTAGGTTTTGTGTAGCGCTTCTAGCGGCGGATTTAAAAACTAGTGAGACTGGATCCCCATAGACTATCTACTTAAGTTGACTTTGTAAACCTTTCAGTAGCTTTTCCGACTATGAAGCATTTTAGTTAATATCAGATTTATAGTACATGCCACGGATGTTATGGTCCGCACGCTTTACTTGCAACTCACCTTATTTTTTTTTTAAATTCTATGCGTGATTTGTTTTGTAAAAAAAGTGAAAATTTTCGCTGTCTACGACATGTTTATCCAAATACTGCTTTCCGATTACCTTACTTGGTCTGGAAATTTCAATTCTGTAGTAATAAATACATTTTTTCGTTAATTGATAGATATTTGTTTTGTAACTGTTTCGAAGTTATTAAATATATGTTCAATAATTAAGAAGTTGTTTTGTTATTTAATGAAAGGTCCTTTCCCCAGTAGGCTACCTAAAACTAAAAAAATTGTTTTAAATTTAGTGCATTTATTTTGCTGCATCTTTATGATCTTTGTTATTCCAGGCTTCAGCAGTAGCGAGACAAAATATGAGTTTTAGATCACAGAATAAATAAACGCAAGAATTAGACAGACTTCTCAATGAATTGAGTTGTCCTTATTTTGGTTATACACGGTGGCCGATATGTAACTGATTGGTTTGTATCTTGAATATTTGTGAAATTTTAAAAATATGCCCATTTTTTTTTCATCTTGACAAGTTCGCTGCCCATGACTTCGATCAGAGCCAGTCGGTAATCTTCGCCATGTGCCGACGGCTCCGATCGGAGTCATCGATTTCCGTGAGCAGTGATACGAATAATCCTGGTTTCAATGACGTCGGCTCCGATCGGGGACAATTTTTTTTTCTCTACCAATATACACAACCTTTTTGAATTCGATACCAATTTAAATAACTAAAAATGATTTACATATACCAATATTAGTCTGACTGGTGAAAAAAGAATTTGGCTATTGGGAACAGTTAATCCAGTCTGAGTAGGCAGCGAACGTGTTAACTTTTATTGAAACTTTGAAATTATGTTTGATAAATAATATCAGACAAATGTCCGCCTCTAGAAGCCGCCCAAACCTGAGCCCTCTCGATTACATTCTCCATCACTTTTTGGTAGGCTTCGGGAGAAACATTTTTAATCACTTTCGTAATATTGTTCTTCAGATTCTCTACAGTATTTGGTTTGTTGGCATAAACCCTATTTTTCAAAAATCGATCTGGAATTGATCCCAAACAGATTCGACAGAAATGTGTATTTGAGCGTAGAAAACAAGGCGTTGCAACGTGGTGTGTGGCGCACTCTTTCTACACAAGTCCCCCGCTTGTCCCCCTCTCTCTCTTCCTCGTACACATGGAAATCTAAAGTTGTTGAACTATGATTTACTATTGTATACATTATATACATGAATATCGAGACGTATATATTGACCATTGTATACGCGTATGCAATGCGCCCATCACTGACTATCCGCCACAGATTCTGCTACAGCTAATCCACGAAGTTCGAGTTGCTTGGAATAAGGTGCCACAACCAGACATCGATCATCTCATTTTATCGATGCCTAGACGTATACAGGAATGTATTCAGCTACGAAGTCGCTCAACACATTCTTTTTTTTTTCTTATTACTTGTCCATAAAATTTCGTGAGAATGTTGTTTCATTCTTGATGTAAGACTACCTCATTGCCAAAAAATCCGGTTGAAGAAATTTTTCTGGGTGTAACACTTCTAATGTCACTGAGTATATGATATACATATTTTATAAATGAATAAATGATATGGTTAATTTGCTTTGCTGGGATCTCAATTAGCCTTCGTTTTGACTTGACAAGTTCGCGTTCCCATCCTTATGGTGTGGTCATATGGATATACCTGAAGCTTCAATTTGATGTTTCTATGTCGAACCTCTGGATACCTCACGAACATGCAGTGGATATCCGTTTGGTATATTAAATGTTACATAATATCAGTATTGTAATATCCAGATTCTTGGATATAGGCGGATAGTGGATATTCAGATGGATATCTATTGGAAATATATGCCCAACCATTGAATATCCTGAGTATCCACCGTGGATGTCTACCACTGAATGTATGTGTGCTCTCTGGGCACACTTTGCTAGATCACCCGATGAGAATATTCTTATATAGTATGTGTGATGTCTGCTCGTGATAGCAGTTTGTAATATTATGCGTAGCACATTTATTAATGTTCGGTACGTTATTTAGGCACGCGTTTAGGATCTGAACGGCTATTAGACATTCTTAGAACACGCATAGAAAGTAATTTTATTTACTGGGAGGATATAGTCTGGTGAAATTAACTTCACAAGTTTATTTGGCAAAAACCTCGAACGGTAGTAGTTAGTAGTCGATGCTGCAGGGTGGTTTAAACAACATAGGCTGGTCAAATTAACTTCGCAAGTTCATTTGGCAAACACGATCTCGAAGGCGTCTGATCGACGTCGTGGGAAGATTAACGGAAATAGTTGTTCAGTAATTCCAGCAAAATTAACTTCGCATGTTTATGTGACATCCTTTACGGTAGAAGTCGATGCTGTCGGGTGTTCAAAGAATATGACTATGTTCCAGACTTGGTGAAATTAACTTCGAAAGTTCATTCTGCAACGAGAGTATTCGATGAAATTGAGTGGATTAAAGGATATAATCTAGTGAAATTAACTTCGCAAATTTATTTGGTAGCAATCTTCAACGGGATGGTCACTGTCATCTGGTAGAGGAGTCGGTGTCGCATGAATAAAAGGCAGAATAGTATTCTTAAACGTTTAGTTAATTAAATTTACAAGAATAGAAAATAACTAAAACTAAATACGAGCTGTAATAAAAATATAATAAATTAATCATTTTCGATATGTAACTAACACTTTTCAATTCAAAAACTGGGTGATTCAAAACGAATATTTTGATTGTAAAGGAAAATGTTCATTTTGAATTGCGACGAATAAATATAATAAGACAATATAGTTACATCTCAAATTTGCGTATTTTTTGTTAAAACATATTTACAAAAACGTACAGATATAAAAAAGCATAGGAACAAAACAATCTTATTGAATTACAATACATGAATGTTTACCTATTTCCAATACATCGATGATGCCAACTACGTTGTTACTTATACAAACATCATTTCTATTATTATAAACTCGAAGATTTTGGAACAAGAATCTAAAAATGTCCATAATACTGATATACGTCTTGAAAAGGTTTTCTTCCAACTACTAAAGCTATAAAAACTCATCGGGGATAACTAGCACTACAAAAAATTGGCATAGTTTGTTAAAATTTGTTGTAGTTGCTATGTTCATTTTTCTCGTTGATGTTATGTAGGGAACACTTTCAACTTACTACTGTTTCATATTTGACTCGATCTTCTCGAGCATATAAAAATCTAGGATGGAAATGTCGATAATTTCCCTATTTCTAAAATAAAATTGTTGTAAGGGACTTAACAGTAGTTCTCGCAACATAGTCCCTGACTATTCAATAGGTCACTTTCCTTTCCTTCGTACCTATGCTCAAAACATTAAACTATACACGATTCACTTATTTCTAAGGTAGTAACCGAGGGTTGAACCTTCCCATATGGAGTATCAGACCGGTGGGATTGTGCCTGATGAAGTAAAGGAACGGTCTGTCGAAACGTAGCCTTGGAGGTTCGGCTGGCTCGTCTGGATGCCTAGCTTGCCTGAAAAAAAGCGTATTATTTCAACTGTGCCTTTAGAAATAAAATTGATACGATTTCGATAACATATTCAAACATACGAGGGCAAAAACAAAATTTCTGGTGTGTGTGTGAGAGAAAACAAAAAATGACGTCAGGAAGGCTGACTGTATTTCCCACGCAACGCTCTCATTAGTTCATAAAATATTATGTTCGGCACATGTTGGCCCTTCGGAGAAAAACGCTAGCTACGAACATGTATAACAAAAAATTGAATGGATCAAGACAATGAAACATGCCCATACAATTGAAATTTGCTATGTAGCAAGTAAAATAAAGTAGTAAAATTTTGGGGCATTTTAGGATTTGCCCACCGCTCCTCAAAAAGTTTTGGAGGCAGGTACGCTTTCACATACAACTTATCTCTCTTGCCGATGAATGACCCGTCCTCTTCTCCCTGAGAAAAATTTCTACGGACGCACATGACCGTTGCTATGACTAACCCCGCGAGGATGACGATAATGACTACTTCCGTACAGCCTACAGCAGTACGGAAGCGACTGCCGACCACGGTACACGTATCGTTACGCAAATGTTGGAGATAATCAAAGTTTTCTCATCGATGAGTGGAATACGTCCAATAAATGTGCAGAATTACGGGCAGGGGTATTACGTAAAAAATCGATATAGTGCCATTAAAAATCGGTGTCATGTCAACTTTTGTACTAGCTAGTTGCTAGTCCACGCCACGCGCAACCACTGTGACTACCACCTATGGAGGAAAGCAGCACCGACCTATAGTATCTATAGAATTTCCAGCTTAAGTCATAGAAGCTATAAATAGCCTCAGCTCTGAAGCAGATATTACAACACATCAGAGCCAAACCATATAGCTCAAGTGTCATGATGTTTAGGCAACACGCACAGCTAGTACAAGTGAACAAGAAGTGATGACATAATGCCATTAAGAATCATTATAATGTCACTACCCTAATTAAGTAATATGGGTGTGGGGTTGGAGGCACATAATGGTTTGTTCGTACAGTGGTCGATGACTTGTCGGTGACTGTGCCTGGGATCGGGCCGTGTGGATTCCATCTATATAGCGTAGCAGAGAGAACGAAATTTGTGTGGCGCGATCTTGAACATGGTCACCAACGCCAAAAAATTGAGTTACAACCTTCCCCATCCCCTTCAACCGCTAACCCCCAATCTGTAACTCCATCCAGAAATTTCCCGAAAATGGTCAGGGGCCTCTGAATCGTCAAAAGACGAAGTTTGAGCGGTTTCTATTTTTTTAGACAGACTTTCAAAAACCTTCGCCCCTGGCTTAATAGCAACCTTGTGTGAAAATTTCATTCAAATCCGATCGGTACTTTCTAAGCTATAAACGAGCCAAGACTTAGCGGAGAGTCAGACAGATGGAAATGACTGACACGGTCTTTCGTGAACAATATCTCAGTAAGTGTGGGAAGTAAAAATGGTGTAAGTCAGCTGCTGATGCCAAAATTTTGCCTGAACGAATATGGACCTACTTACCTGGGTCTTAGAGGTAGAGGTAGATGGAAATACGTAGGATCGTGGAGTGGGTCATGGAACGCACGTTGGTAGTCTCTAGGCTCTTCTACAAAATCGCTGATACTTTGCTGTTGGAAGAGCGGGTCGTGGCGATACAGATCCAGAAACCTAGAAAAATAAAATAAGGTTACAGTAGATCTGAATTAAAAACGATCTTCACCCATCTACTTAATGGATGAAAAATGTTTTACATGAAATTTATTATGTTAAAAAATAAAACGTGAGTGGGTTGACCAAAAAATTCTTGGCGATGCAATCATACGCAGGTGGGTTTCCATGTATGAAGGAAGGAGACACAGACACAAGAGAAGAGTCTGTAAATAAATTACCGGTATTGGAAGCGTACTTATATAAAAATATAAAAGCTTATGATATACTTTCATATATTTTTAACCATTACATATATTTTTCTGAAAATCAGGAGCCTCCGGAACGTCAAAAAACAAGGTTTGAAATTTTTCGCCGTTTTTGATCTTATTCTAAGTCGCCGCGAACCGACAAAGCTTTTTCGTCCTTGGAACAGTAGTAGTAATCTTGTGTGAATATTTCATAAAAATCAATCCAGCACTTTTCAAGTTTTAGACGGGTCAAAGATAGCGGACAGACAGACATACAGACCGACGAAAATGAGTAACATGGTTTTTCGTAGTGAACATGTCATATAACATCCCAAAAACATATCGCATTTTAGAACTTTTTCGCGATTAAAATAGTTATTCGACAGTAGGGCGTGGGAAGCAAAATCGAAATTGCATTTATATAGTGCCATATCGGAGTTATCGATTTGATATCAGTTTTCGCGAGTGTATTGAGATCGTTTTCCTGGATGTTTCCGTCTCGGTACTCAAGTGCTATGCGGGTGTTTTAGTTTTATTGACACTCTATTTTACAATTTAGTCAATTGTTGATGAGCAAATCGCTAGCTGTTGACGATTCAACGATATGGTCAAATTTCATGAAATTGTCTAGCATCTCATTAATTGGGCAACTCTCTAAACTGTAGAATATGGGAATTTCAACTTACTTAGCCCTACTTTCCCGTTGCTCCATGCCCGCAGGGTACATTTCTTCATGCCTTTCCTGCAACTGCGCGCACGACGCGAACTGGTTAACTTGCAGTACCTCCGCTAGGTGGAGTGACGTCGCAGCAGCCCCGTTGAGTCCTCGAAGGTCCGCTCCACCTGGTTGGAATAAACCGCCTAAACCTAGGCGTTTCAGAGCACCGGTTGCGTTTACCAGGCTGCGATGCGACCACACTGGGACTTGCAGGAGAACGCCTGGCCGTGGTTGGAGAGAACGTAGCAGACGAGACCAAGCTCCTGAATAAAATTGAAATTTGTATTAAAAAAAACAATAATTCCAAATGAAAGTAACGGGAAAGGGAGCACTTTTCGCCGTGTTAAGTTGCACGCCCATTGAGTCGAAAGAAAGCGTTTGTGTTGCGCGACAATGTCAATCAACAATGTCCGACAATGTCAGAAAGAGACAGCCGTATTTCAAACATTGTCGAGTGACATTATCGCGAGCCCAAGACTGATATTTACATTAGATCCTTGAAGGCAGAGTGTCAATTGAGGATTGGTCAACCATTGAATAAAAACGAATAATAACCCAACCTTGATCGGGTTACCCCCAAGCAACATCTGAGCAGCTGTTCACGTCACGTGATAGAGCCGTGAAAAATAGGTTACAATTCTATCAAATCTGTCTTTTTCTCATCTTTTTTTGACAGTCTGACCTGCAACCACACAAGCGGCGCCTAGCAGGAGCAAAATTGGTCATCGCTGTCGTTGGTTCCATCGAAGATCTAGGCTTACATCAGATAGGCGGATTTTACTTTTTAAGGATCACGTCATTTAATAAATGTCGCCATTTCATTACATTCACTTACGGAACCTGTTCATCGCGTTTTGCATAACACGCTAAAACATTGAGGGTTCTATTTCGCTTATTTGGGCGATGAATATTTTCTTTCAAGTCGGCAATATTTCTCGGAATATTAACGTAAATTTTGGTTGTGATACCCCAAAGCAGAAATCAACAGGGGCGAAATCTGGCGATTGCGGTAGTCATACAATATCACTAAAGCAAGTTATCGTGCCATATTCGTTGAAAATACGATAGATGTAGCGATAAGTGATGCGTTTTAGCTTATTATTTCATATTCTAGCTTACACACCATTTAATTAAGATCAAGCCACTTGCCAAACAAAAAACTTCACTATGAACCAACTTACTGAGCTGTCTCGCTTTGGTGGTGATGTATGGTCACCACTATCATCCGGTTTGACCCCAGTGGATATTTTTCCGTAGGGTACCATGCAAATATTTTGAAAAATATGGCTAATGTGAAAATAATATGCATCACGAAGTAAGCTATATTGAACTCGCTATAGATCAGTGAATTATTTTAAATGCGATGATCAGATTCCATGAGTACGTGCAAAAAAATGGAAGACATCTACATGACTTTAACTTTGAAAAATCACTTTACACATTTAGTGCATAGTATCTTATTAATTTAATTTTTTGGAGTCTAAAACCTTTTCTGAGACACCCTATAGTTTCCAGTCATAAACATCATAAATGTTGCTTTCAGCACTGTTTTTTCATGGACAAAAGCCAAACTGAGATTCAGGAGGATCTTCAATACTATCGTGGACGAGAACTCGGCGACCATTGCAAATTTGATATAGGTAGGCTAGAATCATAAAAATAATAAAATATCCTAGAATATCTCATATACAGTTCACTGTTCTCACCTTTCTTGAACGAGCTCTCCACTATCCGTTTCTCCAACCTTCCCAAACCGTCTCCTGGCACATCTTGTCCAGGACTTCCAGGTATCACATAGATCGCGCTGATGACGTCTTTCCGACTGCCAACCGCAGCTGCCGTGGCATCCAGGCTGGGTTCATAACCCGCCAGGAACTTCGAACTGTCAAAAACAACTGCCGGCACTGGAACCAGCCTACGTTGACGCACAGACGGTGAGACGGAAAAGTGCAGCTCTGAATCGCGGGCGGTCAAGGGAGGTAAGGCGGATGAGCAGTCAGTCTGAAAAGAATGAAACATGAAATGGTTTTGCGGACTCATCAACTAGAGAGCATCATATAAAAAAGCCGTCTCAATACTGGATGTAGATGACGGAAAAAGTTTGATACTTTGAGTCTTGTTCTTACCGCTGGTTGAGTATTTCGTGTGAATTGGCTACTTTAAATATTTATGCTGCTGAAATTCATCGTGAACTATTTCAAGATAGCATCGTACTCGAAGATATTTGACGCCAATATCCTCTTTGGACCTTTCCCGCTAACTATATAGATCAAAACTAACACAGTTACTTTTTGAGACGATCCTTACATCTCCTAGATGAAGAAACGAAACAAGGGCATAACCAGTTCTGTTTGATATTACTCTCATTTTATGCTGAATAGCAATAGCCATGGAGTAACAATGTCAGTTTGACACCAGTTTTCACTTATCTGTCAGATTGAATAATAATATGTTGATCAATTTTGCTAGCTGTCAAATCTATTCAGTACAAGGGCGTTGCACCGCTGTACCGCTTTACGTTGGTTGAATGCTCTCAATATTAAAAACAATCGACAGCGTTAAAAAAAGAATTGTCAAATTTTCCTAATCGATATGACGTCTATAACTAGTACAGTAATCACCTGGAATATGTTGACGCTCATAGCTACCAATGGTGGCTTTGGCATGATCGAACTGTCCTTTAGAAATTCAGTGATTCTCCCATTTGAATGTTTTTTCACTTGCAGATTCGTTCTCCTCCTGATGACATCACCTATTTCCTTGAAGCTGACCTGCATACAAAAATTTTACATCACTGATGACGAAAAAAGATTTCCTGCAAGCCAGTTTTTCACAGTACTGGTTAGATGTAGTAAACACTACACTGGCGTGGATCATTAGATAAGTTAATGTGAATCGGTCAAAATTAATGAAAATCCACGGACCTATTGCGATGGCCCAACTAGAACTTAAACTATGCTAAGTGACATAGAAAAAAGAACAGCTAATAATAATGAATTTATTACAAAGATTTTCTAGGTATACAGAGAAAACCAAATACCAGTGACGTGGTAATGTGCATGAGAGAGAAGCGGGAGAAGCGAGCAATACCTAACATATGTTAGAAAGAGTGCGCTGATGGCGACACGGTAAGCGGCAGCTGCGTCAGTGGTGCTCCTATCTCTTTCTAACATATGTATTGCACACTTCTCTCTCGTGCACATTACGATGGCAGCGGTATATGGACTTCTATGCATGTTTGTTTAGGTTAGTACAAAAAATGATCAGCTTTCAACCATATCGATGGTTTTTGTGGTATGGTATGTTCTCACAAAGAAAGAGTTAGTAAGCGATAGTTATGTTGTGTAGCTGTGGGAAGACATGAAAATTTTCAACAGCGTCGCGAGTTTGAAAGAGGGCGAATAGTGGGATTGTCTGAGGCTGGTTGGCCCTTTAGAGAAATATAGACCAGGCTGCACAGAAGTATAGATACGGTGGTGGTTTGTTGTCGGTAATGGAATCAGGAAGGCAATACTTGAAAAGCTAGAGGTATAGGACGTGTTAGAAGAACGGCTCCATACCAAGATCGCCGCATTAGGCTTTTGGCTCCTCAGGACCGCTTCTCTCGTCTACAAGGTCAATTACGGACTAATGGCTTGGAGAGCATAGAATGCCTATTGTAATTTCAAATTGTGTGATCGACTTGCTTGATGCAAAGAATGGAATTATTAATTTCTTACACTTTTTCAACCGTTAGATTTTTCTAAAATGTTGATCAATTACTTACTTTCCCCTAAGACACGTATATACAAAAAAATCATTGAATTAAATGTATCAATACTAGATGTTCTGTTTCTCAGGATATGACATCGTGGAGGTCCAACAAATGACTAGTTTTTTACACTTTTTTCAATAGTTGAATTTATCTGAAATTTTTGCAATTACTTATTTTACCCTAAGAAAAACTTTTGTGATAGATTTATTATCACTTGGTGTTCTTTTTTCTGTCACCCATTTTTCTTGGTACGGTATAATAAAATTTCTTTGAGTTACCTCTTCTACAAATCCATCGTAGAACGCTTTCGCCCGCTCCTTGTAGAAATGTAGTAGTTTTCCCTTTCCTCTATCGCTAAACAACTCTCTAACTATCGCCGAAACGGCTACTCCAGATTCTGCACCATGCGCTTTGATTGAATCACTGACATTCTTGAAGATCAAATGGGGGTTGAACGTCACCATATCGTCCAGTTTCAGAATCTCATTCATTTCGCCAGATGTGGAGCCTCTGGCACCCAGAAATACCTGCAGGTATATTATATATAATATATTTAACTGATATTAGCGTGGTGTGTAGGGAAGTGCTGAGTCAACCTACTTCATTTTTAAGAAACTCCAAATCTCTGAACATGAATTTAAAGCAAAAAGACGACACAAATTTAAAACAAAACATACTAAAATGACTCACCATAGCCAGCAAGGATGTAGCTCCAAAAGGAGAGATGAACACACTCCTAGCTGAACTGACTCCTTTTGTAACGCTTTTCCAGAATCCAAACGCTAGCTCGTTGCACAACTGCGTGAATTGGAAGATATCTGCGTCCAACGTAGATGTGCTTTCTTCCAAACCAAAGCCTTGCATCGGTTTTGCTTCTAAATCTATATGTGATGGAGGATTGATGATATCTGCATAGCTGTGGATTGGAGGAGGGACACTCTGAGGTGTCGAAGAGTTACTATGAGGAGCTATGGTGGATACTAATTGCCAGGAATTGTGATCATTTTGTGATGAGGAGCCATTCACTTTGGATTTGTTCTCGGCGCTAGTCTGTTCATTCATTATATTTGTGTCATTTGTAGATGTAGCCGTATCTTCCGATAATGTAGAGTTCTCCATCTCGAAGTTTTCAGTTACACTGTCTTCACTTATATCAGTGGTTGTGACAGTATTTTCGTTTATAAAGACATCGACAGATGGCTGGTCGGGTAAATCTGATACATTACTAACTACAGTATTTGAGAAAACTTCTGTTGTTGCTACTTTCTCATAGTTCACAGTTGTTAGTTCATCATTCAAAGTGGTTGCAACATTCTGTGGTCTATTAGTCTTTTTGATTATCACTATAGTTGTTGGTTCCCTATACTTGCTTCCTGGAGTGGTTGAAGATATTTCATCAGTATTTTCACTAATATTAAATTTGTTGCCATCAGAATTATTCAAAAGGTTCCACTGTGCGCTACCAATTTTACCGACAACAGTTTCCGTTTCTTCTGCTTTGAGAACTTCATGATGGTTCTTATCTGTAGTTGTACTTACATTAACTTTATCACTTGCATTGAATACCTTCTCAACATAAATCTCGATGCTCTGTGGTACATTAGAAGGCGTAGTTTTTTTCACTTCTTCACTTGGCACCCTCTCTGTAACAGACGGCTTTGAGCTACCTTTGCCATATACAGTGGTTTCGGTTATAAATGCATTTTCTGTCGTGCTGAGCTCATTATTTCTTACAGACTGCGTATTCTGATCAATATAGGTAGTAAGATTTTCAGTTTCTTCTTTTACACTGCTGATAATTTCAGTAGTGGTGATATCTTTAACACTTTCGCCATCCTCCTTTCTGTAGATCACAGTAGTTGGATAGTAACCTTTATTCATGTCAATCTTCAACGTTGTGGCACCATATACTTGAGACAAAAGAGATCCAACCGACTCGCTCAAAATATTTGATTCTTGATATGTTGCGGCGGTAATATCATCAGTTGTTGTACTGTGATCAACCATATCAGAAGCAAGTGTAGCCGATTCTTTCTGCACTTCCACCATATCTTTTGTATCAGTTACATCAAGCAAATCTTTGATCTTGTCAGTATCATTCACAGCAACCAATACTTCTCCAACGTTTCCTACTGCCTGAGATAATAACTGTTCTATACTATCGATTAAAGTCTTATCAGTTGTTGTTTGCTCTTGTTTGAAGGACTCAGTAGTTGGAGCATCTACTTTAGTGTCTGTAATCCTTGATTCTTCTTCTGTGCTGGTAATATACTTCTCTTCTATCGTAGGAAGGCCTTGTGTCAATTCAGTGTTGATTTCGTAAATGTTGGTCGTCAACAGTAATTGGTCTAACATTTCTGAAGCTACAGTTTGTTGTATGGTACTTAAAGATTCCTGCAAGCTTGGTGATGTGGAATTTTGATGCGTATTTGACTCCGGAATCCTAAATGTTGATTGAGCTGCCGCATTTGTCGTTCTTGTGTCGTCTTGGTATACAGTAGTACCCCTTTCGGGCAAAATAGAATATAAGCTCTGCGTAGTTGAAGAGCTTGGTCTCTTCTGGCTGAACAGCTCTTCTAATTTTTGAGCAAAATCAGTTACACTCATTTCTGTGCCCTGTTCTGGTAGAATCCAAGTTGATAGTGTTCCTTCAGTAGTCGTTGGTTCTCGCTCTGTTTTAGTGGGTATATTCGGCCGCCATGTTGAAAATGCTCCTTCTTGGGGTGGTTTTGTTAAAGGTTTAATGGTTTCTTTAGTAGTAGCTATACTTTCTGTACTACTTCCAACAGAGTTTGCTTTAAATGTGGTTTGAGCAGATGTAGGTGCAGAAGTATATTGTGTGCTCACAGAGCTGGAACTTACTTTGAAACTCGATGGTTGAGGTTTTGGAGTAGAGGTGGTTGTAGAAGCTGTTACTTCTGTGATATAAGCGGTGGAAGATGATGGAGACGTTCGGAGCTCAGTATTTGAGCTGGACCAGAAGATGTTGTTGGAAATAGGATTCATGCTGGGTTGAGATGTATACCTCACAAACAACGTGGTGGGTGGATTACTCGTGGCAGAAGAAACCTTCGGACTCTCTGTCGACGTATGTGAATTTGTGAAGATCTCTACGTTTGGCATATTTTTCAGATCATCTCCAGGAGTTTGTTGATTTGGTGACTGTACAGGTTTCAGTGTATAATTGATCTGATTGGAGGTATATAATGGTACAGGAGCTTTTGTTGTAGTAGAAGGTCTTGGCGTAGTACTTATCTGTACGTATCTTTTGGTAGTACTAGTACTTGGTGTTTTGTGAGCCAGCTGAATGTAAGAAGTAGGTCTGTAAGTGGTAGCAAAAGAGTCAGAGCCAGATGCCACAGTAGGTCGAACGATAGGCTTCGGCACAATAGTTGCAGGTGTTTGAGTTTTCGTAGAGGTCAGGTAATGATGTGTGGGATCCAGCATAATCGTGTCTGGAGTTACGTGAGTAATAGGCTTTTCAGGTTTGATGCTTTCGCCGGAGTTACCAAATACAGCTGGTAGTATCATGCTCCAAGAATCAGACACATCAGGAGTATCGTATAAAGGCTTGGCGATATCCAGAGCAGTATTTTTATGAGTTTCCATTTCTTCTTTAAGGACATTCTGGACGTTGTTTACAACATCGTTCACCTTCTTTTCGGGAAGGTACCCTTGAGAAGTAAAAGCATCTAGATCAAGGTCGTCAGTATCTCCTGTAGCAATGATTCCTTTGATTTCCTCCAAAGACATGAGGCGTTTTATCAGCTCCCCGTTATCATCGAAAGTATAAAATTCGTATCGGTCGGGATTGAGGAGGTTGATGGGACTACCAACATCTGAGGCTTGACTGGGCTTTCCGATTGGATTGCCTACCGCGTCTGTCAGTGCTACTTTGGTTCCGTTTCCAGTGTCCATTATGACTGATACAGACGTCACTACACTGAAAAAAGGTGGAGTTAGAGACTGTTATGTCAAAAAGTATCTCACCAAGTGAATTATGATTGAATTGGATCTGTTTGGTTTTATCTTTTGATACACAACAGACCAATGCAATATCATTCGAGTACATTGCTTCCTTGGTCCCGATTTATTAAGGCCCAATTGCACTAACGGTCGTATCGTCAGTCATCCTTACAATTAACTTTAGGATGCCTTTATGGCCTCCTTGATTTTCATAGTTTTCTACTGTTCCATGTGAGCGCTCTATTTTGAGGTTATGTTACAAATATCTATTTGCATCAAATTGTTCATGCTTTTGATTTATGTCATATGTTATATCAGCCTGAAATTTACCACAATTCAAAAAGAAAACATAGCCTCACAATGGGAGAATGCTGACGCTAACACGGAACAGTAGACATATATAGAAATTCCCCAGCCTTTCTGAAGTAGAAAAGAGATTATGAAAATCAAGGAGGCCATAAAGGCGTCCTACAACTGTACGAGAGACTGACGATACGGCCCTAATTCAAATCATGAAAATGCGAAATGAAGAAGCGTTTGTGAGTTAATGGACTTAATGAACATGGTGGATCTCTTGCAAAATATTTCTCAAACTAAAGAAAAAATATACGATTTGTTTAAGACGAACCCCTAATTCCCATAATAAATCAAATCAAAATTAAATAAAGCTATAAAAACCCATATTTTCATTTGCACCCGGGCAAACTGTGCTCCACTTGACAGTCGTTTTTTGACAAATCCCTTTGATGGTCACATTAAAAGTCAGTACAGGTGGCCACTAGTTCATCTTTGAGCACAGTCTCTGCAGTCTTCTAATTTTATTAGCTGAGATAGAGCTCTGAACAGACGTTATCAATGTAGTAGTCCCAGGAGGAAACTTTATTTTTTATTGATTTATATCCGTACTGAAAGTAAACTATTGGATCCGCAACAAGAGGAATATTATAACAAAATCAAGGAACATGACGGGTGCCACCACCGTCTCTGTTTTTCTTCTTTATTAGGTTGCAATAGCCCATTAGTATCAACGCAGCACTAGCTACTTCTAGGTCCGATATTTCGACACAGACTGCAGCAGAAAAGGTGGACCACTTTTGAGCCGAACATACCAAGTGAACATTCGCTGGACTCAAATGACGAACTTTGTAATGGAACGTTCGATGTGAGCATGACATTACACCGCCTGACTTCAGTCAGTCGCCGCCTTTGTAATTGGTCAAATTTGTGCCATAAGTGCGGGTCAAAAGTAAAATTGGGGATAATATTAATATTAATAAGCGTTCATTGAGGATTGAGTGACGACTGAGGACTGATATCTTCTTGGATTTTGAACAAGTAATAACGCTTCTTCGAGGAATGCTCAACAGTAACAGTTGTCATCGAAGTCAGGAGGATTTTCCTTTCCTGGCCGTACTTGTTCAGTATTTTGATGATTATTTTGGACACTTTATTTTTTTGTGCCAAATGTTGCTTAGAAATACAAAATCGTAATGGAAAGTGTTTAATTTAACGATTTTATAGCAGAGCCGACTAGGCTAAATATAGGCAGACAGTACTGCGGACTTTGGGGAATTAAGCGTATAATACTGCTTGAACATTATTTTACTTACAATCGACATTTTCTCATAATAATGAACGACACTAAATTCATTACTATTGCAGTGCTTAGTAGCATTTTGCACAAAAAGAAGATCGTCGTATAAATTTTATGATCAAAATGCTAAAGAGATACAGCTAGCAAAGAAAAATCTGACATCCAAATAGCCTGTGATAACAACTGCTACAGCCTTCTGCAAAATACAAATGTTCGATCCTCCCACGAACGTGCTCCAAAGGTATATGTTCGTTTAAAATCCAATTTATTTCTCTTTAATTCTCAAAGATCGTTTATAAATGTTTATAAATTTGCGCTTTTGGTACAAATTCGACCAAAGGCAAGTCGTTTTTGTACAGGGAAAACCAAATTTGTCTGACAGTCTCAGGCCAATGTGTACGAGAGAAAAGCGCGAGAAGTCTGTATCGACACATGCTAGAAAGAGATACAAGCCGGCTGAAGAGCGAAGTTTATCACCACATCTGCCGCGTTGCCAATATGTTATACCAGAAAATGTTCACACAAGCTTCAACAATAGGTTAGGTTGCTGTCAAACCCAAGAGTAATGTCTGTTCGAACATTTAATTTAATATTTTGCTTTCCTTTTTAATTAGAGTTATACATTTCAATTTTGATGCTACTTAGTGTTTCAATTCACTTTATGATTATCTTTAATTTACACCGATGGTGATAAAATCAACATATTCTGAGTTATTGAAGAATTTATGTTTTGAAAGTCACATTATGAATAAGCTCAGAGTATGTTATTTTGTTCCGTCCTCGTCGAAGTAAATATTTAGAATACTTATCGTAGTTCCCTCGTAGTAGTACCCAACCACCACGATTTCAAAGCGCGCACGTAGAGAAGGAAAGCTGCACCGCGTCCCTTCCTCCTACCTTTCTCCCCTCTGGCCACTAACATAATATAACTTAGGGCCTACCGTGGCTGGGGCTCAAAGAAACTGGCAGATGCGGTCAGAGGTATTGAGATATCCAATTTTTAGTGGTATAATTTCTCGGATTGGGACAATCGTTGGCCAGGGAGGAGTCTCTAGTTTGGTCCCCGAGAGGATCCCGCATGCTAATCATCAAGAACCTCTGATAGTTTTCTTCTGTGGTGAATGCTTTGCTACCGGATTGACGGGCTGTCGCACATTATACCCCATCCTACATCAATAGAATGGAGAGCTTCTAGTTCCCACGTCTGGACCAGGTTGCGGGAAAGCTATGGCAATTGTGTAAAGAGAGAAATGTTATTGCTCTCGCGTCAAATATAAAATCTAGGAGTAATACTGGTACAGATGAGCTTTTGCGTCAGTGGGGCGTGTAGACGAAGTGGGAGCTGCACCTGTCACCGTCCTGATTTTGGTTCAAGTATTCGGTGTTTCTGATATTTCACTTCTAGAAGTAACGCAAGGATCTGATGGAGGGACCCAGGACGCCGCTCCCACTGATTCTGAAGCTTACCCTGGTTATCGTCTCTGGAAAGCTGTGATTCCAATCAACATCGATAATCCATCATGTATTGTGGGCTTGGATTACGGTAGGACCTTTGTCGGGAAGAAATACATGTCTGGTTTCCTACCTTGAAATTCCTTACCTTACAGATGATAAGAGATCAAGATATAATCGTTTCAGCTATCAGTATTTTACTCGAAATGTTACTAACGATGCAGACATAAGATGGTTTTGGAAGGGCATTTACAGGCTGCGGCCATCTCAACTGAAGTATAGATACTGTGGTTGTTCTTAACCAAACAAAGGGGTTGCTGGTAAGCTCTGTAGATATTTGGATGAGGAAATCAGCAACACTGCTAGCTCTAACCTCAGGTCAGAGTATGCAAACTAATTGAAACAGACAACATCCATCATGTGGCAACCACTTAAGTTTTACCGTATGTTACGCCCCAATATCTGTGCAAAGTATTTATTTGTCACCCAACCCTAACTTTATCATTGTGCTTCGGCTCCCAGATGGATGAAGTCAGTTTTAGCAGAGTGTCACAATTGACAATCCACAGTACATGAAATGCGTCTATCTCTCCGCCTGCCAAATTGTAGTAGTCTCAGGCTCGCGGCGGGCTGGACTGCGTTTTCTGAGATACGTCACAAATATCTTATGCCAAACAATAGCTTTGTTCAAGCGGCATTTGAGGTGAACCAAGGCTCCACACCCTAAACATAACTATTTTATTACGTCATTTGCTCATTATCATGAAATGGATGGTAATTTTTGAACCAGGTACGTCACATTACCTGTTGCTAAAAGCCTCAACTTGAATTGTTACAATGGAAATGTACATTTAGTTGAAACATACATTGCGTACAATTTGTGTAGTTGTGTACAACCTATCGTTTACTATTGCACAGAGTTAGTAGTATGTCGTTGCAACTAGCTTTGAACATCTACGATATGTATTCTAAATATTTACTTCGACGAGGACGGAACATAATTACATGATCAAACTCGTCGAAGTAAATAGCTCCCTCACCCTATGTACCACCTAATTGTTACAACAACTTGGCTTTGAAGTAAATGAAGGTTTAAAGGCAGCCAGAGGGGAGAAAGGTAGGGGGAAGGGGCGCGGTGCCGCTTTCCTTCTCTGCGTGCGCGCTTTGAAATCGTGGTGGTTGGGTACTACTACGACGGTACTACGATATGTATCCTTAATTCGTTTGATCATGTAATTATAAATACAAACCGCTATGGAGGTATAAGTATATATTAACAAGTCATATCAAACTGAATCTTGTTAAAGCATTAATCCTCACACATTTAGATTATAGTAGTGCGGTGTATTACCCTTTTCTCACTTAGGAAATGAAACAAAAAAACCAGTTTTACATGAGGTTTTGTTTCAATGAGACAAACAGACGTGAACACATTACTGGGTTTTTATGTAAGGGAAAATCATTTAAAGTTCAAATATCGCTCGTTACTTCTCTATGCTGTTCTACTATTTAGGGTTTTAAAATAAAAATCTCCGAAATATCTTTTTGATGCTTTAGAGAAAAGATCTTCATTCCATCAACTCTTCCTCCGTAATGAATATTGTTATAATATACCAGCCCACACTACCTCAAAATTCAAAAAATGTTTCTGTTACATAGCGCCCGGTATACTAAATGATTACCTATTTTTTTTAAACTTATATCCATTCACAGCTTCAAAAGAGAATACAAAAGAATGCAAGTACGGTTTCAATTCAATGAATCTACAGGTAGTTGAATAGATCTCACTATTAATATTATTACCTTTTAAAGTTTTGTTATTGTCAGCTACATGTTCTTTATGTGATGTATACGATATGCCTAAGTAAGATCATAATTATATTATATAATAAGATATATATATATATATATATATAAGTTATAGGGCTACCCTGTATCCTACTAGAAGATAGAAGATGCAACTTTACGCAGCGCCTGGCAACTGTGAGAATGCAATATGATATTTTCCTTTGTCTTATCATTCTAATGAACATTGTACTTTACATTTTGTAATTCAGTTAGAATCTAGCCTTCACGCCAATCACTACTTGTAATTTAGGAAATAAAATATTTTTTAAAAAGGCACTTACGCAAACTCGCAATATAAGTTATATATAATCAATAATATATTGAATCATTTTATCTACCTTAGCTATTCAAGCGAGGGTGAAAAATGGTTATGCCAATCCCCAGCCCTTTGGCGTATAATTTTGTTTTATATATTATTTGCTCGTATTTTGATTCTATTATTTATTAATTCTCCAATAAACATTATTATTATTATTATTACATTTTGCGACAGCGAGCGGTCGGAAAGTGACATAAAAACAATTACGCGATACAAATTAACACTGCCTGCCTGTACGCAAGTGAACGAAGCAGCAAGTCACACCCCTATGAGCGCTAGATGGGTACTGATCAAAATCGTTCATCTATCATAACGTAGGCGGAAACCTTGCCCTGGAATGTACGAGATGCGGTATTGCCAAGCGAACCAATGATGCAATGTTTCTGAATTTGTGGCGATCCTTACCTTTCATTTCGATCTAAAATGGGGCGCCATTAGCCGATCCGGAATCGATCCTAAACAGATTCGACACAATTCAAAAATGTGTACGCTCAAAACAAAAACATTATTTGGGCGTAGAAAATAAACTAACGCATACTTTCAACATGCACCTTAATGGAAGGAATCGGTGTAACGTCATGGCAACGCAGCAGATTGCCGCGACAGCTTTGCTAGGCATCCAGCCGGCTTCTATCTCTTTCTAACATATGTCTCCATACATACTTCTCTTTCGTATACATTGAACTCAAGCCATTAGACAAATTTGGTTCCCAGTGTATATACTTCATGAACCAACTGGTTTATCTAAAACATGATATTTTTCCATTCACTACCGGACACAAAATTTGAGACCCAGTTGCAAATTCGACAAATCAAAAATAAGGCCATAGTGGTAGTTCGGAAGAAACAGGTTTTTTTGCACGTCAATCAAGTAAATTGTTCATTTAATCGATGTAAAAGTGTAGGTTTTTGTAGATAACCTCAATGGACATGTTGATGGATTGTTAGAAATATGTTCATATATATTTTGTTAAATTATCTCTCTCATGTAAGTAGTGATACTGTTATTTACAATAAAATGTGAGAATGAGGGGCCTTTTTTACACAAATTCCATAATTCCTCTCTAGTCTGAGAGACATTTTACAAGAAATCGACCATATTCATTAAATCCATTACTGCCGCCTTATTGATCGAATTTGTACAATAGGGCTAAATTTTGTGCATCGGTTCAGAAAAATCGGGCCTAAGAGCTAACAGGAGCGGAGTACTAAGCAGATTGTATAAACACAGTCTGAATTAAACCTGTTCGCTTTACGTCTTGTGGTCGATAATTTCAAAATGTAATTTGGTAAAAAAGTGCCATTGCCCCTGCACTACAACGTTCCAATTAACGATCAACGCTGTCTTCAACCCTCGCCACTGTACCTGGGTCCAACCCTCTCTATCAAAATTAGTGGCCCTTGAGTTAAAACTTTCTTCCTAGTTGTTCGGCTACAAGCCTATAATTATACACGAACTTAAAGTTTACCGAATATATCGAGGGCATTTTACCTTGATCCCAAAATTTTCCTTGATTCTTCTCCATCTGTCGTGGTTTCATTACATTCTACAGCTAACGGCGAGAAGAGTATCCCCATTATGAGAAATATTAATATCCTCCTCATCCCACAGCCTGCAACAAGAGAAATAATTATTTGTACAGCGCTCTAAAAGTTTTGATTGATCAAATTGATTAGGGTATTTTCATTTTAGTCTGTCAGTAGGTACAGTAGTTATCTGTACGTTCAGAAACATCAAAAGAAGTACTCGGCCAGTTAGGGATACCTCAAAAGGGCAAAGACCTTTGGTATGTCAATAAAAGACAGCTAAATTACGAACGCCAATCTTTTTAGTCTTTTCTGTGTCGGTCTTTTTCTGTGGGATCTATCTAAGAATTCAACTCAAACAAATATACTAATTAGTTCAAGGGGGACATTAGAATGATTTAACCAGCTTAGTTAATTAATAGAATAGTCAATTAATCTGAAAGCCCGGCAACTCTATTTAATTATATCTTGTACAGGTTGTTGTAGAGATTTTGACATTTTTTTAAATGGAATATTTCATATCTTATCATATATGGGGACATATGATTTCGAATGAAGACGATTGATGTCACATGTCCGGATGGTATAAATAACAAATTTTCTTTAGATCTCTTGGGCAAGCTCATCAAAAGACTATGACACTTTTTATTGCAATAGGAGTACTAACTTCAAAACTTCCTTTGAATGTCACACAGTTTCTGGAGATGTTGATAAAATTTCACTTTTCAGAATTAAATCGCTTGCCATGGGTGCTGATTGTATAAATCTTGAAATCTTGCGTTCCCCAAAAGTTCATCCCTTACATTACTGATATAATAAAGTTCTGTATGTCAGATAGAAAATTTCCAGACTCTGGAAAATTGCCAAAGTTATACCAGTACCAAAAAGTTTGTAAATTAGTGACTACAGTGATATTCGTCGTACAATTATTTTACCAGTGCTATCAAAAGTTATTATATAGGACCAACAAATAAGAGATTATTTAATTGAAGATAATTTGTTACCAGACTATCGATCAGGACTTAGGAAGGGTACCAGTTGCGAAACTGCTCCGTTGAATATAACTGACGATGTCTGGTACACCACAAGGCTCCATTTACCCAAAGAATGAGAAAACGCGTTTATTGGGATTCAATCAAGTGTTGACAGGAATGAAAAAAATTTTTCTAAAAGATGTTTAGGTATTTATGAGACCTACAAAATAAGATCACACGTAAAAAGATCCGTCTTATAGCAAAAATATTATGGCCGAAAAACGAGGCAAAATGCAGGTTATGGCAATTGTTTGGTAATGCAACGATAATTTCACGCAACTACTTGAAATTCTTCAAATCCGTAGGATCCATACTTTTAAATAACCACAACAAAATTGAAGTATATTGGTCAAGTAGTTTTTGAGAATCTCTAATTGTCTTTCGGCCATCACTACTAGTTTATTGAGCAATACACAGGGTTCGTTCAAAGAGCATTTAATAGCAAAATACACGTGTTTACCTTGCCGATATGAATCACAAACCATTCTGAAAGGTAAATGTTATTTTTGTGCGAAAAACAAAGGTTTCGTTTTTTTCTTCTAAACAAATTCAAACATTTCGTATTTGTGAGTAATTGAACAAATACCCTACGATATTCGAAAAACATACGTTAATATACTCATTTTGAAACAAAGCGGATGTGTTTGTCATCTTTTGTTACGAATTACTCCCAAATACGAAATGTTTGAATTTGTTTATAAGAAAAAACGTAAACCATTCTTTTTTGTATATAAAAAACATTTATCTTCCGGAATGATTTACGATTCATATCGGCAAGGTAAGCTAGTGTATTTTTGCTGTAAAATGCCTTTTGAACTAACTCTGTATATTAATCAATAAACTAGTATAGTGATGGCAGGACAACAGTTGTTTTGGGATAAACAATTCGAAATTCTAAACAACTACTTGACAAATCTACTCCAATTTGGTTATTGGTTATGGTTATTTAGAAGTATGAGTCCAAGGAATTTGAAGAATTTAAAGTATCTGCGAGAAATCATCGTCGTATTGGCAACAACGGCGGAAACGTGCAGTTTGCCTCGGTTTTCGTTTAGTCGGATCTTTTTACGTGTGGTCTCATTTTGTAGGTCTCATAAATACCTAAAAATCCAAAATGATGAGTTTTTTTGATCCTGCCAACACTTTTGATTGATCCCAAAAAACACGTTTTCTAATTCTTTGTTGTCGAATAAACAGTTTTCCCACAAGAATTGGTGTACAAATTCCATGCGACCATGTTTTAAATACCCCCCTTGGAAAACTTGCAGCAATAAAACCAGACTTTACAATTATTTCACAAACCAGCGGTATTTTCGTCTAATAGGATCTAGGTCATGATCAATGGATCAATTCATATTATAAAGAACATTATCGTTGTAAAACTTATTTGCTTGTCTTGTCATATATACAAATAGTTCGTAATGTTTAGGCAAACGGATAGAAGCCGGTACTGATTACAACAACAAAATGGGAACAAATCGTACAACATATGTCGTCTTGTAACAGTAAATGAGGCATTTACACACACAGGTGCGAAACAGCGGATAAATACCCAACAACATACATGGCTATCTTAAGTGGACGTCTTTCAGTCTTTAGTTATCTATTTTACGATTCAATTTGAGAGTATATTAGCAGTAAAAAACAGTTGGTCTTTTGAAAACCGTGTAGTTCTAATCAGAATTAATCGGTAGTTCTAAAGCATATTTTACTATGTGGCATCCAGTAAACAATATCTAAGTAGCCGAAGTATCCAATTTTGGACAGTTATTTTTTAATAGAGTTTGAATCATGCGAAACTAATAGAGTGTATTGGTTTTGACCTACTTTATTCTTTCTATGATGTCCGTCAAACAGGGATATAGCTAAATTATTAAACAAGGTTACTATTCTGTCTAGGAGTAAAAACTTTTGCAGTTTTTGAAAATCGATCGAGTGGCGGCGCAGCTACAAGCAAAAAACAACAAAGAAAACTGCTCGAACATAATTTTTTGCCGTGTTAGAGGCTCCTAGTCCATTTTTTCAAATTTTCAACCAAAGGTGGCATCGCAAACTAGATATACACCTCTATAATGTTATGCTACAAAAGACATTCTAAATGCATTTTGTTCCATTCAAATTGAATGATAAAAATTCCTTGGACTTTCTTTATACTATATGTCCATTAGCGGTGGACAAACTAACAGAAGTTTGTCCTTGCAGCCTGGACTAATTGCCTTTAGTTTGTCGTTGCACCTGTTGCTGTCAGACGTGTTTGTTTTGTGTACTTTTATTTCTTTGTTTTTCACGAAACAATAAAAAATAATGGATGTACCTGTCAAAGGGGACCATATACATAAGTTGGTGATACGAACCGTGGTAGTAGAAAAAGGAAAAAAAAATATCACATCTAAAGAGCGTAAAAGTTATGTTAGGTAAGTTTCAATGATTTTGAGGTTATGTTTGTATTACGGTATTGTTTGGCTTATATCATCTGTAGGCTGTTATGTTATTATCGTTAATATTTTAATATTCTTTTTTTAAGGCATTCAGATCATTACCCTAATTTGGAACATCTTGTTGATTTTTCCTGTGGTCACCCTAAACGCAAGGATTTTTTTGCTATGAACTATCCCAGGATGACATACATACAATCAGTAATACGTTTTATAAAACGAAAAAAAAGAATGTACAGGATAAAAAATTGGGGCATTTTATGGATGTTGGAAAACCAGATAGAAGTCGTAACCGAAGACCAGGAGGAAAATCGCACAGTTTTTCTACAAGATATTTTGTAAGCTTACTCTTAAATAATTTGATTTAGCTTAAAAGGGTGGTTGTTTAGACATACACTCCGGTGGAAAATATAGTATTTTTGAAATCGGCCCTTAAGTTATCCCGATCGGACGACAAAAAAATTCGAACTGGAAACTTAAATTTAAAGATATAATCGTGGTTTAAGCAACGCTTTACTATCGGAAGGTCAGGTTTAATTTTACCTTGGACTTTATATTATTTTTTAGGTTTGGAAAAACGGAAAAAAGTCTACATTTGCCTGAAACTATTCTTAGCAATATTTAGCGTCAGTCAGAGACGCGTAAATACTATTGCTCGGAAGATCCAATCTGGCAGTGGCATTATTGAGAGGTGTGGAGGAGACAAACGCTCTTTTAATAATGTAAATAAATTTGAAGCTGTGAAAAAATTCATAGCTAGTTTGAAAGAACATGAAAGTCATTACAGCCGTGCTAAATCTCGTCGCATCTATCTTTCAGCCGAAAATAATATTACTGCTCTATGGAATCTGTGCAACCAGGGTGCAGTTGAAAATTTGAAAGTGAATTACAAGTATTTTAGTAGGATCTTTAATAATAATTTCAATACAGCATTTGGGAGTCCTGCCACCGACGTATGCGGTTTTTGCGTTAGGACCCAAACTTCTATTGGCATTTGCAAAGACAAAAATGAAATAGACAAGTTGAAAGCTTCTCTGCGTGCGTATAAAATACGGGCCAAACAATTTTTCAGTCTAATGAAAGAGAAGCCGGCACAGAGTGTTTCTTATTGTTTTGACCTTCAGCAGGTGCAGGTGTTACCAAAAGTGGCCATTCAACATGCATTTTATGCTCAGCAACTGTCTTTTTATTGTTTTTGTGTCACAGATATTGACATAAAAAAACCAGTATTTCACACCTGGATGGAACATCAAGCAAAAAGGGGATCTGCAGAGGCAAGCGCTGCTTTACGTGATTTCCTTAATAAATCAGAATTTGGGCCAGATGTAAAACAGTTAAGACTATTCGCAGATGGTTGTGCTGGGCAGAATAAAAATGCACACGTGATGCATATGCTTGTGCTATGGCTGTACAATGATGATCCGAAAAATATTAAGTCTGTGATACTAACTTTTCCAGTGCGCGGCCATTCCTACTTGCTAGCAGTCCGTGTTTTCGGCCAAATAGATAAAGTTACACGATCCTACAGTACGATAAAGACATCCTCACAATATTATGATATTTACTCCAGGAAGGCAGACGTTAGACAACTTGGTCAGGACTGGATTGTTTACGATATAAA